ATAAATGAAAAAGAAATGCAGGAAACAATAGCAAAGATCAATAAAACTAAAAGCTGCTGCTTTGAGAAGATAAAAAAAATTGATAAGCCATTAGCCAGACTCATCAAGAAAAAAAGGGGGAAGACTCAAATCAACAGAATTAGAAATGAAAAAGGAGAAGTAACAACTGACACTGCAGAAATACAAAGGATCATGAGAGATTACTACAAGCAACTATATGCCAATAAAATGGACAACCTGGAAGAAACCGACCAATTCTTAGAAAAGCACAACCTTCTGAGACTGAACCAGGAAGAAATAGAAAATATAAACAGACCAATCACAAGCACTGAAATTGAGACTGTGATTAAAAATCTTCCAACAAACAAAAGCCCAGGACCAGATAGCTTCACAGGCGAATTCTATCAAACATTTAGAGAAGAGCTAACACCTATCCTTGTCAAACACTTCCAAAATATAGCAGAGGGAGGAACACTCCCAAGCTCATTCTACAAGGCCACCATCACCCTGATACCAAAACTGAACATGCCGCAAAAAAAGAAAACTACAGGCCAATATCACTGATGAACATAGATGCAAAAATCCTCAGCAAAGTACTAGCAAACAGAATCCAACAGCACATTAAAAGGATCATACACCATGATCAAGTGGGGTGTATCCCAGGAATGCAAGGATTCTTCAATACATGCAAATCAATCAATGTGATAAACCAAGTTAACAAATTGAAGGATAAAAACCATATGATAATCTCAATAGATGCAGAAAAAACTTTTGACAAAATTCAGCACCCATTTATGATAAAAACCTTCCAGAAAGTAGGCATAGAGGGAAGTTACCGCAACATAATATAGGCCATATGTGAAACACCCACAGTCAACATTGTTCTCAATGGTGAAAACCTGAAACCATTTCCACTAAAATCAGGAAGAAGACAAGGTTGCCCACTCTCACGACTATTATTCAACATAGTTTTGGAAGTTTTAGCCACAGCAATCAGAGAAGAAGAAGAAATAAAAGGAATCCAAATGGGAAAAGAAGAAGTAAAACTGTCACTGTTTGCAGATGACATGATACTATACATAGAGAATCCTAAAGATGCTACCAGAAAACTACTAGAGCTCGTCAATGAATGTGGTAAAGTAGCAGGATACAAAATTAATGCATGGAAATCTCTTGCATTCCTACACACTAAGGATGAAGAATCTGAAAGAGAAATTAAGGAAACACTCCCATTTACCATTGCAACAAAAATAATAAAATACCTAGGAATAAACCTACCTAAGGAGACAAAAGACCTGTATGCAGAAAACTATAAGACTCTGATGAAAGAAATTAAAGATGATACAAACAAATGGAGAGATAGGCCATGTTCTTGGATTGGAAGAATCAACATTGTAAAAATGACTGTACTACCTAAAGCAATCTACAGATTCACTGCAATCCATATCAAACTACCAATGGCATTTTTCACAGAACTAGAACAAAAAATTTCACAATTTGTATGGAAACACAAAAGACCCCAAATAGCCAAAGTAATCTTCAGAAAGAAAAACGGAGCTGGAGGAATCAGGCTCCCTGACTTCAGACTCTACTACAAAGCTACAGTAATCAAGACAGTATGGTACTGGCACAAAAACAAAAATATACATCAAAGGAACAGGACAGAAAGCCCAGAGATAAACCCATGCACATATGGTCAACTTATCTTTGATAAAGGAGGGAAGAAAATACAATGGAGAAAAGACAGCCTCTTCAATAAGTGGTGCTGGGAAAACTGGACAGCTACATGTAAAAGAATGAAATTAGAACACTCCCTAACACCATACACAAAAAGAAACTCAAAATGGATTAAAGACATAAATGTAAGGCCAGACACTATAAAACTCAGGAAAACACAGGCAGAACACTCTATGACATAAATCACAGCAAGATCCTTTTTGATCCACCTCCTAGAGAAAGGGAAATAACAAAAATAAACAAATGGGACCTAATGAAACTTAAAAGCTTTTTCACAGCAAAGGAAACCATAAACAAGATGAAATGACAACCCTCAGGATGGGAGGAAAATATTTGCAAATGAAGCAAATGACAAAGGATTAATCTCCAAAATATACAAGCAGCTCATGCAGCTCAATATCAAAAAAAAACAAACAACCCAATCCAAAAATGGGCAGAAGACCTAAACAGACATTTCTTCAAAGAAGATATACAGATTGCCAACAAACACATGAAAGGATGCTCAACATCACTAATCATTAGAGAAATGCAAATCAAAACTACAATGAGGTATCACCTCACACTGGTCGGAATGGCCATCATCAAAAAATCTACAAACAATAAATGCTGGAGAGGGTGTGGAGGAAAGGGAACCCTCTTGCACTGTTGGTGGGAATGTAAATTGATACAGCCACTATGGAGAACAGTATGGAGGTTCCTTAAAAAACTAAAATAGAACTACCATACGACCCAGCAATCCCACTACTGGACATATACCCAGAGAAAACCATAATTCACAAAGAGTCATGTACCACAATGTTCATTGCAGCACTATTTACAATAGCCAGGACATGGAAGCAACCTAAGTGTCCATCGACAGATGAATGGATAAAGAAGATGTGGCACATATACACAATGGAATATTACTCAGCCATAAAAGAAACGAAATTGAGTTATTTGTAGTGAGGTGGATGGACCTAGATTCTGTCATACAGAGTGAGGTAAGTCAGAAAGAGAAAAACAAATGCCGTATGCTAACACATATATATACATATGGAATCTATATATAAAAAAAAAGGTTCTGAAGAACCTAGGGGCAACACAGGAATGAAGACGCAGACGTACGGAATGGACTTGAGGACGTGGGGAGGGGGAAGGGTAAGCTGGCACGAAGTGAGAGAGTGGCATGGACATATATACACTACCAAATATAAAATAGATAGCTAGTGGGAAGCAGCCGCATAGCACAGGGAGATCAGCTTGGTCCTTTGTCACTAGAGGGGTGGGATAGGGAGGGTGGGAGGGAGACGCAAGAGGGAGGGGATATGGGGATATATGTATGCATATAGCTGACTCATTTTGTGATACAGCAGAAACTAACACACCACTGTAAAGCAATTATATTCCAATAAAGATGTTAAAAAAATTCTTACATATATTCGAGATAGAAATGTATCTTAGAACACATGCTAGGGAAAGAAAGCAGTTGATGGATTCTCGAACCAGATTCACATATTTCCACCACTTGTGGAGGCATTTAACAGTGGTTAGAATTTGAGAAACAAGGACTCAGACTGAGAAAAAATATTTCAGTTTCCCAGGCAAAAACTATTACTACAGGCATCCAAATGAAAGGTAAAGATTAAAATCCCTTTGATTATCCATACTTTGCTATAACTACATATTAGGAGGAAAACAGGCCTGTTTATTTGAGTTATAGACTTTATTGTAGAGATGCCTTCTCCATGTCTTTCCCTTCCATTCTAAACGCTTCAGTATTTCTCTTACTTTATAATTATTTGGCAGATGGAAGGGAATTTTTCAAAGGCCTATATGTTTATTATTGTCTTTTGGTAATTCCTTAGTCGGATCTTATTTTTTCCCACCAGATGACCATGAAACATTATTTTATTTATAGCATTTAAAAACATTTAATTATATAAGATATTTAAAGATCTGTCTTGATCTAGGATACAAGGTTTAAGAACATAAAATAAATGGCCTGTGCAGCTCACTTTTAAAATTATACTCCATACATTTATCAGTAAAAAGGAACACAGCAGAATTATACGTGTGGACATCAGATTCTCAGTATGCCTTTGTTTACAGAAAAGCCATGTCTAAACTTAAAGGAAAAGAAATACTCATGAGGAAGTAGATTACTGTTGGCAACTTAGTAAATGTCTTTTAGGAAGAAAAGGAACTGGACACTGGGCTCATTTCTCAGTCCCTGAGTTTGGAGGAGTGGTCTCCTTCTGGCATCAGGGTGGTGGGGTGGCAGAGACAGTGTGCCGCAACGGGAAGAACATCTGAGTTTGGAGTCAGAGAAACACCCAACTCCAAATACTCCATGACCTCCTTTGGGAAGAGAAACCCCATCTCTAAAACAACTCTAATAAATAACCAGACAAGTCACTTCTCTGCTTGAAACGATCCATTCACTGGTCCCCATCACCATCAGGGTGTGCTCCCCTTTTATATCTCTCACTTCACTGTTCACTACACAGACATAGACAACTACCCCAGGTATTGCCTAGGGCTACTATGAAGTTCTCAGACAATGCCACGTTCCCTCATGACTCCATGTTTTTGCAGAGGTAATTGCCTCTTCAGAATCCCTTTAGTCAAAATAAGGTCATTAAGGTGAGTCCTAATCCAACATGACTGGTATCCTTAAAGGAAGAGGAAATTTGGACATAGTCATGTACAGAAGGAAGACCATGTGAAGACACAGAGAGAAGATGGCCATCTACAAGCCAAGAAGAGTGGCCTCAGAAGAAACAAACCCTGCAGACACCTTGATCTCAAAATCTAGCCTCCAGAATTGTGAGAAAATAAATCACTTTATTAAAAAAAAAAAAAGAATCCTTTTAGTCTTTGTGGACCTACATGTCATCCTAAACCTGCCTTCTAATTTGTTTATTTTCATAGTAGCTATTCTAACTGATTATATGTGGGGTAAATGAGAAGCTGTGACAATAAGAATATAAAGTAAGTTTTCTGTCTTTTGGATTTAATTACATTTGGATTGGCAGTGAAGAAATCACCATTGGGGAAATCTCTCATTGTTGGTTCAGCTGGAGGCTGGAAAAGTAGACGATCATTCCTAATCTTGAAACTAAGGCTGGATGCTAATTTTGCCTTCTGGGAAACAGATGATTTAAGTTTTCCTTAAGAAGGAAAATAACTTAGTACACTAAAGTTGGCACAAAACAAGTTCAGTGAGAATTATGATGAAAGATATCATATATTTTCAACTTAGTTAAACAAAAATCAAACTTTACCTCTTGAAATGGTTCACCAGGACTCCAACCAGCTCTCCAATTCGACTCTCGTGGGTTGGCTGTTTGCTGAAGAGACAGACGATGAGGTCTTTGTTGTCCTTTGTATGGAACACTACCAGTTGGTCCTTCCCATTGGAGACGCTCAGACCAGTCAACTGCAAAGAGACAAGGCATGGAAACTGTAAGGGTGGTTCTCAAAAGAATGAATTTAAAAATACAGTTTGTAATGGTTCTACTCAGTAACTCTGATGACATTAATCCTTATCGAGCTTCATGAAACAAGCAGATGAAAGGAAGTAATAAAGATAAGAACAAAAATTAATAAAATTAAAAGCAGAAAAACAATAGGGTAAAATCGATGAAACAAAGAGCTGGTTCTGTCAAAAGATAAATACAATTGCTGAATCTCTAGTCTGAAAGAATAAAAGAGAGAAGACTTAATTACCCATATCAGAAATGGAAGAGGGGCTATTACTACAGACCACATAGACATTAAAAGGATAATAAAGGAATATTTACAACTTTATGCACATAAGTTCAACAACTTTGACAAAACCAAACAATTCCTTGAAAGCCATAAACTACCAAAATTCACCCAAGAAGACATAGATAACCTGAATACTGCTATATCTATTAAAGAAATTAAATTTGTAGTTAAGAACCTTTCAAAAAAGAAAACTCCAGAAGGCTCAGATGATTGCCTTGGTAAATTCTACCAAATATTTAAAGAAGAAATAACACCAATTCTCCACATCTCTTCTAGAAAACGGAAGAGAAGGGAAAACTTCACAACTCATTTTATGAGCACTGTCCTGATGCCAAAAATAGACAAAGGCAGTACAAGAAAACTACAAACCAATATCCAATATCCTTCATGAACATGGATGTAATTAGAATGGCCAAGATATCAGCAAATCAAATCCAAAAATACATAAAAACAAAAATGCATCATGACCGAGTGGAGTTAATCTAAGAAATGCATAGCTAGTTTTGTATTAAAAATATCAATCAATGTAATCCACCATAGCAACAGAAAAAAAAAACAACAAAGCTACACTATTTACAATTGTCAGGACATGGAAGCAACCTAAATGTCCACTGACAGATGAATGCATAAAGAAGATGTGGCATATATATATACAATGGAATATTACGCAGCCATAAAAAGAAACAAAATTGACTTATCTGTAGTGAGGTGGATGGACCCAGAGTCTGTCACACAGAGTGAACTAAGTCAGAATGAGAAAAACAAATACTTTATGCTAACGCACATATATGGAATCTAAAAAAAACGGTACTGATGAACCTAGTGGCAGGGCAGGAATAAAGACGCAGACGTTGAGAATGGACTTGAGGACACGGGGAAGGGGAAGCTGGGACAAAGTGAGAGAGTAGCAATGACATATGCACTACCACATGTAAAATAGATGGCTAGTGGGAAGCTGCTCCATAGCACAGGGAGATCAGCTTGATGCTTTGTGACAACCTACAGGGGTGGGATAGGGAGGGTGGGAGGGAGATGCAAGAGGGAGGGGATATGGGGATTATATGTATACTTATAGCTGATTCACTTTGTTATACAGCAGAAGCTAACATATTGTAAAGCACTTATACTCCAATAAAGGTATATAAAAAAAGAAACCTATCATATCAATTGACGCAGAAAAAGCATTTGACAAAATTCAACACCCATTCATGATATAAATCTCTCAGCAAACAGGATTAGAAGAGAATTCAACCTATTAATGACATCTACAAAAACGCCACAGCTAACATCTTACAAAGTGGTGAAATACTGAATGGTTTCCCCAAAGATCAGGAGCAATGTAAGGATTTCTACTGTTACTGCTGCTGGGCAACTTCATACTGGAAGCCCTAGCCAGTGCCTTAAGGCAGGTTTAAATAAATTAAAAGGCATACAGTTTAAAAGGGAAGAAACAAATGACTTTATTTTCAGATTACATGATCATCTATATAGAAAATCCCAAGGAATTTACAAAATAGCTCTCAGAACTAATTAGTGGGTTTGGCAAGGTCACAAAACACAAGGTCAACAGACAAAAATATTTCTATATACTAGCAATGAAAAACTGGAAACAGAAATTTAAAACCAAAACCATACACAACTTCAAAACCCAAAATACTTAGATATAAATATAACAAAATGTGTGTAAGACCTGTAAGCTGAAAACTATGAAATGTTGATGAAAGAAATCCAGTGAACATGCTGATGACAGGAATAAAAGAAAATCTAAATACACAGAGAGGAATAATGTGTTCATGGTTTGGAAAATTCAATATTGTTGAATACTGCCAATTTCCCCCAAATCGATCTATAGATTTAATGCAATCCCAACCAAAATCCCAGCAGAATTTTTGGTAGATATCAACGAGCTGATTCTAAAATGTATATGGAAAGGCAAAGGAACCAGAGTAGCCAAAACAATTTTGAAAAAGAACAAAGTTGGAGGACTCACAGTAGCTGATTTTCTTACTATAAAGCTACAATAATCAAGACAATGTAATTGTCAAAAGGATTGTCAAAGGGATAAAAACATAGATCAGTGGGAAGAGAATGGAGAGTCAGATACAGTCTCACACAAACATGACCGACTGATTTTTCACAAAGATGCAAAGGCAGTTCAATGGAGAAAGGATACTTTGGACGTTTGGGTAACTCAGAACATTTGGACATCCACATGCCAAAAGAAATAAACATTGACCTAAATCTCACACCTCATGAAAAAGTAATTCAAAATGGGTCATAGATCTAAATGTAAAATGTAAAACCATAAAACTTTTAGAAGAAAACACAGGAGAAAATCTCTGTGACCTTGGATCGGGCAAAGATTTCTTAGAAATGACACCAAAAGCACAACTCATAAAAGACAAAAAAAAAACTGTTAAACTAAACTTCATAAAATTTAGAACTTTTCTCTATGAAAGACATTGGTAGGAGAATGGAAAGACTGCCCACAGACTGGGAGAAAATATTTGCAGAGATATATCTGATAAAGGACCTGTGTCCAGAATATATAAAGAACTCTTAAAACTCAACAACAAGAGCGCAAACAAGTCAACTTAAAATGGGCAAAAGATGTGAAGTCACTTCACCAAAGAAGACCTATGGGTGGCAAATAGGTGCTCAACATCACTAGGCACTACAGAAATGCAAATTAAGACTGTAACAAGATATCACCACAAGCCTATCAGAATGGCCAAAATAAAAACAAAGAAGAAGAACAACAACAAAAGTGACAATACCAAAGAGGACGTAGAACACTCAACTCTCATACATTGTTGGTGGGAATGTAAAATGGTACGAGCGCTGGGAAAACAGTTCCGCAGTTACTCAAAAAGTTAAACATAGAATTACCACATGAACCAGAAATCTCGGTCCTAGGCATTTATCCCAGAGAAATAAAAATTTATGTTCACACAAAAACTTACACATGAATGTTTACAGCAGCTCTATTCATAACTGCCCCAAACTGGAAAGCACCAGAATATCCATCAATAGGTGAATAAGGAAACTGTGATACATCTACACAATGGAATGTTACTCAGCAATAAAAAGGAATGAATAATACAAATTATTGATATGCATCACTATGGTTTATTTTCAAAGGCATTACGCCGAGTGAAAGCAGCCAGTCTCAAAAGGTTACCTACTACACGACTCCATTTATGTGATATTCTAGAATATAGTTGTCAGGGACTGGGGTCAGGGGGAGTCTGATACAAGGGAGTTTTTTGGGGGTAATGGAATGACTCTGTATCCTCATTGTGGTGGTGGTTACAGAAATCTGTGCATGTATTAAGACGCACAGACCTGTATACAATCACCACTACCAAAAGCCAATTTTATTTATTTATACGCAAATTAAAAAAAATATATAGCTCCTTGGTTATTTTGATCCCTAGATCTATCTTGGTCAATAAAGCAGAAACCCGAGTGATTTCTTGTTCAGTGGTTTGTTCTTCTATTGCAGAAAATACCAAAGTGCCACCTCCTGGCTGCCACAGGTGCTGTCAGTCTGGCAATCAGCATTGACAGGATACCCACTGGGGGCAATGCAGAGTACCAGGCAGCCTGGGGGTGGGGATGGAAGTACCAAAGATGCAGAAGGTATAATCTCTGTTCTGGGGGGATTCATGATCCAGTTGGATGAGTGGAAGAGACAAATGCCAAACAACTGAAGAACACTTTAACAGTTCATACGTTTGGAAGATCATTTAGTCTCATGCCCATATACTACCGATAAGAAAACTGAGGCTCAAAGAAGTTAGCTGATTTGCAGACCCTGAAACTGGAACTCAGGCCTGCAGAGTGACCCAGACCCATGTTCTTTCTATCACAGTAGGCTTTTCCAAATAACATGTACAAATGAACATAAGCTGTAAAAATAAGTATCCCTAAATGTCACATAAATAAATTTTCATAGGAGGTGAGTTCTTAGGTTGATTTTAAAGAATACCAGGGTCAGCGCTCAATGGAGAGAAGGGAAAATATTCAAGGAGTTGGAAATCATTTCACAAACCTACGTTAGATCATGGGTTTTCTGAGGCCATGGATAAGAGAATGTATCAATCTTTCTGACACTTAGATGATTTTTTTTTGTTTTTTGGTTTGGTTTGGTGTACACTGGCTTTTTTTAAAGTTCCTTTTAAAAATATTTTACTGAAGTAGAGTTGATTTACAGTGTTGTGTCAATTTCTGCTGTACAGCAAAGTGACTCAGTTCTACATATATATACTCTTTTTCATTTCTTTTCCGTTCTGGTTTATCACAGGATATTGAATATGGTTCCCTGTGCTCTACAGTAGGACCTTGTTGTTCATCCATCCTATATATACTAGTGTGCATCTGCTAACCCCAAACTCCCAATCCTTCCCTCCCCCACTCCCAGATGATTTTTATATGAGTAAATTAAAAATATCATTTTCGTTTCAAAAAACATGTTACATCTACGATCCTTCTCTCTCATTTATTTTATATACAAAATTCAAAATGAAATTTATGTAGCACTTCACAGGAGAGCTTGATTAAAGCCTAATAACATGAGAATTCTAACAGCACTAGCTCCGCCTGCATATCCCAGGAACATTAGCTGCAGGGGTCCGGGGAGAGGGACCGATTCAGCAGTGAATGCTG